CCCCAAAACCCCAAAACCCCAAAACCCCATGAGATTAATCTCTAGAATTAAGTTGAAAATTTGAACTGATTTATAAAAAGATTTTAAAATATGGAACTAGATTACTTAAAGACTCTTCCACTCGGTGGATTCAACTTTGACAACTGCATCAGAAATAGAGCAATGGCTGAGAGTGGCATCTTGCAAGCTCCTAAGACCATGAAGACTGGTACTACTATTTGTGGAGTTCTCTTTAAGGTAAACTTACATTCATTTATTGATTTCATCTACTAAACTTTTACAATTGACATGATTGATTAATCCGCATTTTAGGATGGAGTTGTTCTTGCAGCTGATACCAGAGCAACTGGTGGTTCTATTGTTGGTGATAAAAACTGCGAGAAGATTCATAACCTTGCTCCAAATATTTTCTGCTGTGGTGCAGGTACTGCTGCTGATTGTGATCATGTCACAGGTATGTTAACCAAGTTTTAATAACCAAAATTTCTATCCATTTTCAACTAAGCACTTTTTAATTTACTTTTCGAATGTAGAGATGATTAAGAGGCAACTTGAATTACACAGATTAAACACTCATTCTGAGAACAGAGTGCAAATGGCTGCATTAAAGTTAGTTGCTCATGCCTTCAAATATGGTGGACAAATCGGAACTCATTTGATCGTAGGTGGAGTTGATGTAAAGGGACCTTAACTTATTGAATGTTCAAATGATGGTAACATGTACTCAATGCCATATCATACCACCGGCTCTGGTTCACTAGCCGCTATGGCAATCATGGAAACTAGATATAAGGAGAATATGACCAGAGAAGAAGCTGTCAACTTGTGCATCGCAGCCATTGAAGCAGGTATCTATCACGATCTAGGATCTGGATCAAATGTAGATGTTTGTGTTATTACTAGAAACAAATATGAAATGCTTAGAAACATCAAGCATGATAACTTCAAGGTCTTTTCAAAGCCAGGAGGATATCAATTCAAGAAGGATAGAGTCCAAGTTGTAGAAGAGTTCAAGCATAAATTAGTGGTTGAGGCTGGTGAATAACCAATGGATTTAAGCTGATGAGTTAGAAATATAATAGAGGAAAAACTAAAATTTGCCATAAAAGTTAATTCAACTCATTTATGCAATCATACAAAATTTCCAATCCTTAATTTCATGGGGTTTTGGGGTTTTGGGGTTTTGGGGTTTTGGGG